AGCACAGATGTTATCTGCTTTTGAGGAGTACACACTGTTTTCTTTTAGGGCGAGTAATAAAATATTTATTTAAAGAGGCAAGAAACAATTTAATTCCTAAATCAGTCTCTGGTGTTCTTTTTCAAAGATTTTTATTCTAACCACCCTATCTGATTCAATTCTCATCCCACAAGAAACTCCAACTCCCCTTACAAATGTGAACATGTAAGGATAGCATTTTCCCTCTAATGAAAGTATTTCAAAAACTCATTTCTCTTCTATAATTTCTGAAAAATAGGTAGAAAATTATTTCTTTTTAACCCCTTTAAAAGTAAACCACAGTGAGATATTACTTCATACTCATTATGGTGGTAATAATAAGAAAAGCAGACAATAACAATTATTGGCAAGAAGGTGGAGAAATTAGAACTCATGTGTTGCTGATTGGAATGTAAAAAGCATAACTACTGTGGAAAACAGTTTGGCGATTCTTCAAAAAGTTAGACATAGAGTTACTGTATGTCTTGGTAATTCTACTTCTAAGTATATATATCTACAAGTTAGAGGTCCCCAAGACCACCCTCAAATTCAATAATTCATTAGAAGTACTCACAGAACTCAAAAACATTTATACTCATGGTCATAGTTTATTACAGTGAAAGAATACAGATTAAAATCAGCAAAAGGAAGAGGTACATAGGGCAGGGTCCAGAAGAGACCAGGCACAGAGCTTCCAGCTTCCTAAGTGGAATCTTGTGGACAGTGCTTATTTTTCTCAGCATTGGTGTATGACAATACAGAGTATTGCCAACCAGCAAAACCACCCAGACCTTGGTGTTCAGAGATTTTATCAGGAGTTGGTCACGTAGACATGACTGACCACCTGCATAGCTGGACTTAGTCTCTAGTCTCTCCAATCCCTCCAAAGGTCAGGCTGATACCACGTAACTCAGAGCTTCCACCATAAATCACATTGTTAGCAGAGACTATCTGACATGGCCCAAGACCTCCAGGTAAATAAAGACACTCTTATCAGACAGGACATTCTGAAGGTTAAGAGGTTACCTCTCAGGAGCTAGAGGCAAAGGGCCAAAGTTTTCTTTGGCAAAGTTAATCCTTTATTGCACGTTACCAAAGAGAAATGAAAACATACATCCACACGAAAACAGGTACACAAATCTTGATAGCAGCATTATTTCATAATAGCTAAAAGGTAAAAATAGTCTAAATGTCCATCAACTGAAGAATGGATAAACAAATGTGGTATAGCCAATATAATGGAATATTATTTGACCATATTTTAAAAAGGATGAAATTCTAATACATGCTGCAACATTGAAAACATGCTAAGAAAGAAACCAGATATAAACTGCCACCTATGATTCCACTTATATGAAATGCCCAGGCTAGGCATTACTGTAGAGACACAAAGTAGACTAGTGGTTGCTCAGGGCTGGGATTGGGAACAGGGAGTGGCAAATAGAAATGAGATTTCTTTTGGGGATGATGAAAATGTACTGGAATTACATAGTGGTGATGGTTGTACAACTCTGTAAATATACTAAAAACATTGAAATGTATACTTAAAATTGATGAGTTTTGTGTTACGTAAATTATATCTCAGTAAAGCTGTTCTTTTTAAATGGGCATTAAAACACCACCACCCCTGTCACCTTAAGTGATTACAGTAGAAATGAGATATATACAAAAACATTTTGTTTAATAGAATGTGCCAAATATATATTTTTGGGAAAAAGTAAAAAGTTATTTGATTGGTTAGCATTTCTCCTTTATCACCGAGATATGTATTGTGGACTTCCAACTTTGAGTATGACCTTAGAATGACCTTTTTTGAAACTAGATGGATTTTATGGCAGTTTCCTAGGGACATTTCATTTTTCATCTAAGTACCCAATTCTTGTTCATGTTATTGTATTTTATTTTGAGTAATTTATATTTATGTCTCTACATTTTATAAATTTGATCTAAGAGAGATGATCTGTTTTTTTTTTTTTCAGGCAGAGATGATCTGTTTTTAACTTCCCATTAGTAGTAGTTTTATGTCACACACTCATCTCCTGAACAGAAAACATTCCTTTTGCTTTCTCTTCCCATATTTTTGTCTTTTAAACAGCAGAAGAGCACTATGCCCAACATTTTTAACCTTTTCCTATGGAATGCCTTTTGCTACTTGTTTTTTAAACGACCAGCTAGTTTCTTAGTCAAGGGATAACAGAAGAAATCCAAATAAAACTATAGTTTGGGCTTTTCATCATCCTTGTTTTCATGAGACTTTTCAAATCATAGAATTTTTAAGGATACAAATTTCAATGTAACGGAACAAACTCTCCCAGTCAAGCTAAGTTGGGGTGGGCTGTTTTAGGAATGCAGTAAGTGGCTAGAATACCACTTAACTGAAAAGTAGGAGTTGAGGGTAGGGGGCAGTTTAGGTAGCAAATCAGGTACTTTACAGGAAGTACAACTAATAATGGGCTTCCCTGGTTGCTCAGACAATAAAGAATTCACCTGCAATGCAGGAGACACGGATTCAATCCCTTAGTCGGGAATATCCCCTGGAGAAGGAAAAGGCAACACACTCCAATAGTCTTGCCTGGAGAATTCCATGGACAGAGGAGCCCAGTGGGCTACAGAGCATGGGGTCACAAAGAGTCAGACACGACTAAGCAACTAACACTTTCACTACTTTTCACAAGTAATAACATGTGTGAGGTTGTATAAGATGATCTTTGAATTGTTGTCCATCCCTGGAATTCTTTATCCTGTGAAATTAGATTAAGTGGAATCTGCTCCCGTTAAAGCTTTGCTGGTTGCCAGTATTCTTTTTTTTTAATTGGAGGATAATTGCTTTACTATGTTGTGTTGGTTTCTGCTATACAACAACACAAATCAACCATAAGTGTATGTGTGTATACACACACACACACACACATATATATCCCTTCACTCTTGAGCCTCCCTCCCAGACCCCCCCATCCTACCCCTCTAGGTCATCACAGAGTGCTGGGCTGGGCTTCCTGTGTTATATAGCAGCTTTTTATTAACTATCTATTTTACACATGGTAATGTATATATGTCAGTGCTACTCTCTCAATTCCTCGCTCCTTCTCCTTCCCTCACTGTTACCACTGTTACCACGAGACAGTCCTGTATGTCTTTGTCCTTCCCTGCAGATAGATTCATCAGTACCATTTTTCTAGATTCCATATATATGCATTAACACACGATATTTGTTTTTCTCTTTCTGACTGACTTCACTCTGTATAACAGGCTATAGGTTCATCCACCTCATTTCAACTGACTCAAATTCGTTCATTTTTATGGCTGATATTCCATTGTATATATGTACCACAACTTCTTTATCCATTCATCTGTTGATGGTCATCTAGGTTGCTTCCATGTCCTAGCTATTACAAATAGTGCTGCAATGAATATTGGGGATACAGTTTTTCAGGGTATATGCCCAGTAATGGGATTACTGAGTTATATGTTACTGAGTTACATGGTAACTTTATCCCTAGTTTTTAAAGAAATCTCCATACTGTTCTCCTTAGTGGTTTTATCAATTTACATTCTCATCAGCAGTGCAAGAGAGTTCCCTTTTCTCTGCATCCTCTACAGCATTTATAGTTTGTAAATTTTTTTGATGATGGCCATTCTGACCAGCATGAGGTGATAACTCACTATTATGTTGGTTTGCATTTCTCTAATAATGAGCGATGTTGAATATATTTTCATGTGTTGCCAGTATTCTCTTAAGTGTTGAATTTCTCAGTCTTTAAGGTGGCCTGCCAGGTTTTGCATTTTTTTAGTCTTTATTCATATCCAAGGTCATTCTCTATGTTTTGTTATCAAAAACCCAACATATAGATAATTGAGCAGTCTGCCCTCCAGATGCATGCTTCCAAAAGATTTGAGACTTGGCTTTAATCATGGGAATTCCCACTATATCTTTTGAAACAAATCCTCCATTGCTTTCCTTCTTTTATTTGCATAAAAATATAAACACATGTGCATGTTAAATCTTTGGAAGGAAAACTGTAACATAGCCAAAACAAATCATAATTGAAACTAACTGCAGCACAAGAGTCAAGCAGTCATGGGCTAGGTTCTCTTTGCCTCCCTGTGAATCCTCAGTGCATGTCCCAAGAATGTACCTAAGCATGTACCTAATAAATGTGTTACAGCTATGAATGGAAGAATATTGTAAACTTAATTCCAAATTGTCTGTAACCATACTGTTCAGTAGAACTTTCTATGATGTGATGGAAATTTGTGCTGTCCAGTATGGTTGAAATGTGGCTAGTGTGACTAAGGAATTGAATTTTTAATTGTATGTAATTTTAATTTTATTTTATATGTAATTTAAGATAGCCAGTTGGCTACCTTAGCTACCATATTGGACAGCACAGCTCTATAAGACCAATTTCAAGAAGTTAGGTTACTTGAATATTGGAGTTCCTGTGACTTTTTTAGAACCAGTAGCTGTTCTGGCAGTAATATTGATTCTGTTTTTCTTTCATTTGTTCAGAAGCATTTCTTGAGCACTTGCTAGTTCAACAGTTGATGACAAACAGAGATGAATGACACAGCTTCTGTCTTTAAGAGCCATGGCCAGGAATTTTACATTTATTATGCTCTAAGTATAGTTTAAAAGGACCATTATACAAGCATATAATAAGGTGATATTGGGGGTCACAGAAAAGATACAGCATGACTCTATATATAGGGGCCAAAGAAGAATTCTCAGAAAAACTTAATGCTTGAGCTAAAATTTAAAGAAGAGTTTGAAAAAAAATTTGTTTTGCCTCTGTTTTTATTGTTTTGTAAAAGAACAGATTTCCGGGCTTACTTGAAAGGTGTCCGTCATAGTCAGTTTAAGACCAACTTTCTCCCTTGTCTTTCCTTTGCTTCCTATGAGCTCTCAATTTAGGTCCAGGCATATAGAGCTTCCTCTTTCCCCACACAGCCCTGCTACCTTAACACATCTTTTCTCCCCACAGTGCTCAATAAAAAGCTGCATAACTGCCTTCCATGTCACCTGTGCCTTTGAGCACAGCCTAGAAATGAAGACCATCCTAGATAAGGGGGATGAAGTAAAGTTCAAGTCATACTGCCTCAAGCACAGCCAAAGCAGGCAAAAGCTCAGGGAGTCTGAGTACCCCCTACACAGGGCTTCAGAGCAGAGCCAGGCCAAGAGTGAGAAGACCAGCCTGCGGGCACAGAAGCTTCGGGAGCTGGAGGAGGAGTTCTATTCCATGGTCAATGTGGAAGATGTAGCCACAGAGCTGGGGCTGCCCGTGCTAATTGTGGACTTCATCTATAACTACTGGAAGCTGAAGCGGAAGAGTAACTTCAATAAGCCATTATTTCCTCCAAAAGAGGAAGAAGAAAATGTCCTGGTACAGCCAAGGGAAGAGAGTGTTCACACTCGCATGAGAATGTTTATGCACCTACGGCAAGACCTAGAGAGGGTAAGGTGACCAACTATGACCTAGGGTATAGGTTTTGGTCTGCATAGGAATGGAAGCCACACTTCCAGATTTAAAAAAAAAAAACACACAACCCATTTATATTTGTAGTACAAGCGTCTGTGCCCTTACTTATCTTCTGATTTCATTGTGGCCCCAAATGTTGGGCTTAGTTGAAATTCTGCTAGACACATCAGAGAATAGAAGAGTCTATCCTCACTTAGATGCTTTATGAACCTTAAATATGAAATAAATTTTTCATTTGGTTTACCTTTTTTTCACTGTTGAACCTAAGTTGGCTCAGCTATATTTTACTGACACACTTATAAAACTGCAGGCTGAAGAAAGAATGAATTTTGCTTAGGAAAGTGCCAGATCAGAGTTTCTTAAACTTGGCTCTATTGACATTTGGGACTGGATGGTTCTTTGTTATGAGGGACACTGTAAAATGTTTAGCAGCATCCCTGGCCTCTACCTACTATATACTAGTAGCAAACCCCCCACATGCCCAGTTGTGATAACCAAAAATGTTCTCAAATTACCAGACGCCCTCTAGGGGTGAAAAATTACTCTTGGTTGAGAGCCTCTGCACCAGATAATTCAGTGTAACTCATGAGATACATACATACACACACACACACATTCACACTAAATTAGGTACTGTAGGAATTTAAAGATAAGTTAAGTCCTATGTTTACCCTAGAGAATCTTATAATCAAGTGTAATGGTGGCTTGTTTTTTTTCTCTGCTACCAGAATTTGGAAAGGAACTAATAGATTTTTTGTTGTTCAGTCACTCAGTCATGTCCGACTCTGCGACCCCATGGACTGCAGCACGCCAGGCTTCCCAGTCCTTCACCATCTCCCAGAGTTTTCTCAAACTCATGTCCTTTGAGTCAGTGATACCATCTGAACATCTTGTCCTCTGCCATCCCCTTCTCCTTTTGCCCTCAATCTTCCCCAGCATCAGGGTCTTTTCCAGGAGTTGGCTCTTCACATCAGGTGGCCAGAGTATTGGAGCTTCAGCTTCAGTTCTCCCAGTGAATATGCAGGGTTGATTTTACTCACTTTTTAAAATTTAACTCACACATAATATAGCACTTACTATGTGGTACCACTCTTCTAAGCATTTTGTAAATATTAACTCATAATCCTGACATGCATATGAAGAAGGTACAGTTATCCCTCTTTTCAGATGAATAAACTGGGACACAAAGTTTGAGTAACTTGTCCAGATGGGAGAGCATGAGAGAGTGAGGATTTCACCCTTGTGACTATGGAAACTTGGCTGAACTGAAAGTGTGAGCAAAAAAAAGCTACTTCCAGTCTTCCCAGCAGACTTTTACCCTGCTGGTCCAGCACTCATTAGAATACTGGATCCAGCATTGCCACCATTTACTCAGGGATCTAAAGGGAAAGCTAAACTGTTAAGTCTTCATTCAGTTCTCCCAGCCTGGCTGCACAGATAAATATCAAGCCCATGACACCACAGGGAGAGTAGACTTGAGAAGGTAGCTTTGGAGATTTTGCTTGTGCTGCTGATTGATACGGGAATCATGATCCCACCATTGACCATGCCATGTGAATACCTATGTAGTGGCTCTCTTTATGCAGCTTTTAGGTTCTGTCTTCTCTCCTCAGCCCCCCACCCCATGTGACTTAAAATTAAGTTGTCTTAATTTTAGCTAAACAATGTTCAGTTGTCAGGTTTGTGTAACATGACAAAACTCTCTTGTTTGTTTGGGGTTGGGCTTACAGGTCCGAAACCTGTGCTACATGATAAGCAGACGAGAAAAGCTGAAACTGTCATACAACAAATTACAAGAACAGATCTTTGGTTTGCAAGTCAAGCTTGCTAATGAGGAAATTGCTGCAGGTAAGCCGTACAAATTTTATATCAATTGTTTCACTTAAAAATCTTTTAAATTCATTTGTTCTAGTCCAACCATGATGCAACATGGCCCATTTCACTGTTGACTCATGAGGCAAGAAATCCAAGGGTTGGTAGAGTTGCAGGTCTAGGACAGATAACTTACGTCCCAGACAGATATTAGAGGCTGTTAGTTGGAGCCATGAAATGATTCTAAAATCATTGGATTCATTTAGAAATCAGTAGGATACGATCTAATTGTAGTTCCCAGAGAACATTTAATTCCAGGGTTACTCATCCTAACAATCTGTTACATTAATGACAAATCCTAAGCCAGAATTTAGTAGGAGATCTGGGTTCTTATCTTTTCACTTATTCACTGATGTTTGTTGAGCACCTCCTATGAACTAAGAGCTGAGCTAGAAGACAGCAGCAAGCAAGACAGAATTCCTTCCTTCAGAGAACTCTGCCCACTTGGTGAGAGAAACAAGTGAGCATAATTACAGTACTCTAAGCATAGGAGCTTGGCTGGAATGACGACAGTCATATTCAGAGATATTTGTAACCTCCCTGTGCCTCATTTAACATAAAGGTCAGTGGCAGAGCCTGGGCAACTAGGGGTCACTGGGCAATGTGTGCAGAATCCAGCTTCTGCCAAGGGCCAGCTATAGAGCAAGAGAGACACCCAGAAATAAGGTGTCAGGTAGGTGTCAAAGTCTTATGGAAAGTTGTGAGGATCACAGGCCATGGCAGAATGGTGGAGGAGGAGACAGCAGGGCTGCTCAGCCATAAGCGTACCATGATAGACAAGACAAGGAGAACCAAAGGACAGCAGGAAGAGCCTCCATAGTGCCAAGGAAATTGGTCCCTAGACCATGTGGCTTCTGATTAGTGGGACCCAACCCTATAACTGCTTGTGGCAGCAACAGATGGCAGACCCTGGTAGAAGCGGGGACTGAGTGTTCAGTTTGGACCCTTAGGGAACAGATGTCCATTGGGGCACCTAATGTCTTCTCTGTATGTCATCTTTGTGAAGCTACAGTGAGATGGTAATGGGCAAAGGTCAAGTCCTTATACAAAAATAGATTGTTTGATACAAAAGTGCCCTTTTGATTTCAGAACACTCAGAATAATAGAGAGAGGAAGACTTGTCCTAAATATGATTATAGGGTTGATATAACCAGGTAATTGATTGCTAGTACTCCCAAGGCCAAGCCCATAACAGCAGAAATATCATGATTGGCAGAAATATCATGATTCTTTTCTAGAGGCCTTGCCACTACAAAACCTGCCCCACCACCTCCATGGTGGTCATTCATAGTGAAGAAATTATTTTAAGTTAAGGACATAAAATATATGGGAACCACCAAAACCTGTACTACATTCTTGTGAGTTTGTATTTTACTTACTTTAGGAAGACTGGAGGGTGTGATCTGAAATGTCTATGTTCAAAGTGAAAGAAAGGGAAAGTGTTGGTTGCTCAGTCGAGTCTGACTCTTTGTGACCCAGTGGACTGCATGTAGCCTGCCAGGCTCCTCCATCCATGGGATTTCCCAGGCAGTAATACCAGAGTGGGTTGCCATTCCCTTCTCCAGGGGATCTTCCTGACCCAGGGATCGAACCTGGGTCTAGCACATTGCAGGCAGATTCTTTATCACCTGAGCCACCAGGGAAGCCTGACTGTGTTTAAGGCAAGTTCTGAATGCTATGCGGTACCCACTCATGCACATGTACAGACACACAAATAGGAAGACCCTATTCTAAACCATTACTAGTGACATTCTTTTCAGAAATAGAGGGAGCAGAAAGGATGTATGAGGCATCACACTGGTCTTTGTGATTATTTTTACAGACTAGGAGAGCAGAGGTGAAGAGGTTGGGAGTCACACAGCAAAAAGTGGCAGTGCTAAGTTTTCTGTAGCAATCCCCACCCTAACCTCTAGTTCAGCTAACTTCAGCTGCTATATGCACATATCAAACACAGGTACTTGCTCAGTATTTGGAAGAGTGGGTGTGTGAACTCTGCTGTAAAAATGTATGCCTTTGTTTATTTTTTTATTGAAATATAGTTGCTTTACAAAATTATATTAGTTTCAGGTGTACAGCATAGTAATTCTGTATTTTTGCAGATTGTACTCCATTAAAAGTTACTACAAGATAATGGCTATAATTCCCTGTGCTATACAATACATCCTTGTTGTTTATTTTATACATACTAGTTTGTATCTCTCAATCCCATACCCTAATTTTCCCCTCCTCCTTTCCCTCTCTCCTTTGCTAACCACTTGCTTGTTTTCTATATCTGTGAGTCTGTTTGTTCTGCATATATATTCATTTGTATTATTTTTTATTATTTTTTAGATTCTACATATAAGTGATGTCATAAAGTATTTGTCTTTTGCTGCTGACTTATTTCACTTAACATATTCTCTAGGTTAACCCATGTTGCTGCACATGGTAGAATTTCATTCTTTTTATGGTTGAGTAATATTCCATTGTGTGTGTGTGTGTGTGTGTGTGTGTATCACCTCTTCTTCATCCATTCTTCTGTTCGTGGGCACTTCAGTTGCTTCCATATGTTGGCTATTATAAATAGTGCTGCTGTGAAAATTAGGGTGCACATACCTTTTCAAAATAGTGTTTTTGTTTTTTCCAGGTATATACCCAGAAGTGGAATTGCTGGGTCCTATGGTAGTTCTAATTTTAGCTTTTTGAGGAACCTCCCTACTGTTTTCCATAGTGGCTGCAGCAATTTACACTCCCACCAACAGTGTACAAATGTTCCTTTTTCTCCACATCCTCTCCAACATTTATTATTTGCAAACTTTTTGATGATAGCCATTTTGACAGGTGTGAGGTGATATCTCATTCTGGCTTTGATTTGCGTTTCTCTAATAGTTATCAGTGTTGAGCAACTTTACCTACGCCTGTTGGCCATCTATATGTCTTCCAAAATATGTTCAGGTCTTCTGCCCATTTTCTAATTGGGTTGCTTATTTTTATAATATCAAGTTGTATGAACTGTTTTATGTATTTTGGATATTAACCCATCATTGGTTGTACCATTTGCAAAAGTTTTCTCCCATTCTGTAGGTTGTCTTTTCATTTTGTCAGTGGTTTCCTTTGCATGCAAAAGCTTTTAGGTTTAATTGGGTCCCATTTGTTTATTTTTGCTTTTATTTCTTTGGTCTTAGGAGACAGATCAAAAAAAAAAATACTGCTGTGATTTATGTCAAAAAGTGTTCTATTTTCTTCTAGGAATTTTATGGTTTCAGGTATAACATATTAGGTCTTCAGTCCATTTTGAGTTTATTTTCATAAATGGTATGAGGAAATGTTCTAATCTCACTGTTTTACATGAAGCTGTCCAGTTTTCCCAGCACCCCTTGTTAAAGAGACTGTCTTTTCTCCATTGTATATTCTTGCCTCCTTTGTTGTAGGCAAGTGTAACTGACCACAGGTGTGTACGTTTATTTCTGAGCACTCTAGTCTGTTCCATCAATCTATGTGGCTGTTTTTGCACCAGTACCATGCTGTTTTGATTACTGTAGCTTAATAGTATAATCTGAAGTCTGGGCACATGATAACCTCCAGCTTTATTCTTTTATTTCAAGGTTGCTTTGGCAGTTCAAGGTCTTTTGTGGTTCCATATGAATTTTAGGATTATTTATTGTAGTTCTGTAAAAAATGTAGTATGGCCATTTTAACAATGTTAATTCTTATAGTCCAACACTTGTTTTGTGGCTTCACATATGACATATCCTGGAAAACATCCCATGTGCACTTGAAAAGAATGTGTATTCTGCTGTTCTGGGATGTAATATCCTATAGATATCTATTAAGTCCAACTTGCTATTGTGTCATTTAAGATCACTGTTACCTGTTAATGCTCTGTCTGGGTGATCTGTCCATTAATGTAAGTGGGGTGTTAAAGTCTCCTACTATTACTGTATTATTGTCAATTTCTCTTTCACCTCTGTTAGTATTTGCTGTTTATATTTGTTGTTCCTCTACTTGGGTATATGTGGTAACAAGTATAATACCTTCCTCTTGTATTCCTCCCTTTATCATTATTTAATGCCCTTCTTTGTCTTTTTATAGACTTTGTTTTAAAGTATACTTTGTCTAATTATGAGTATTGCTGCCCCCACTTTCTTGTTATGTCCATTTGCATGAAAACAGATGCTGTTATTTAGATTGGTTGTTAAAATGAATCTTTCTTTTTTTAATCTCAGGACTTCCTGTGACAAATGCACTAGAAAATTCATTGTTTTACCCATCACCAAGAATTACCTTAAAGTTAAAAATGCCCAAATCAGCCACAGAAGATGGCAGTAACAGCTCCACAGAGCCTGATCATGGACCTCTCTCTCCTGATGACAGCTCCCCTGTTTGTGATATGAGGAGCATGCAGGTGGCTCAAGATTCACTGGAAATGAGAATGAAGTCATACCCAAAGCATCCACAAGAGAGCCAGACTGACTGTTTACTGACCAGTATCAGCGATGATAGAAGTGAAGCAGAGGATCCCAGTCCTGCTTGCAAACTGCCATCTCCTGAGTTCTATCATGGGCAGTCTCTGGGAAAGCCTCTGGTCCTTCAGGCTGCCCTGCATGGACAGTCTTCCATTGGGAATGGGAAAAATCAACCTAATCCCAAGTTTGCCAAATCCAATGGCCTAGAGGGCACCTGGTCTGGGGATGTCACCCAAAAAGACAGCTCAGGTGAGATGTTCTCTGACCAGGAGCCCATGCTCAGCTCCCACTTGGGTAGTCAGGGCAGCCTTAGAAAATCTGTGGAGCACCTCAGCAGGTCCTTTAGGGAGGTCACCAGTAAGTGGATGAAGACCACAGAGAACCTCCAGTGCTATGTGAAGGCAACCAAGAATATTAACCCCAAAGAGCAGCTTTGGGGCAAGCAGCTTGTCAGGCGGTCTGCAGGGAGAGCTCTGTATCAGGAGAATGATGGGTATTGCCCAGATGTGGAGCTGAGTGATTCAGAAGCAGAAAGTGATGTGAATGAAGAAAAAGTCAGGGTAAAGAGAGAGAGTTCAGACAGGGAAGATCCTCCCCATGATTCCAAATGGGATTGCCATGGTAAAAGCAAGACATATCCTCTTTCCCACAGTTCAATGCAGAGGTGATTAGAAGTCCCAAGAAAACCTCCATCTTTGCCTTTGCCTCATATATTGGGGAAAACTCATACACCAAAATGACTCTAGTATATGTTGGAAGGAATTGTAAAATGGATTAAATTTTTCCACACTAAAAGACATTTTTCTGCATCCAATAAGTTACATAATAAAAAAATTAACACACCTCCCCCCCAAAAAAGAAAGAAAATGTACAAGAGCAAAGAAAGTATATGATCCATGTTCTCAAACTGTTTTCTAAGAAACAAGAAGTACATTTAACTGCATGAGGAAGAAAATGCAAGCAATAAAATTCTACTTTTTAAAGTTTTAAATTTGCCAATATATAAAATGTAAAACCCTGCAGAAGAAGCTGCACTGATATAATCACCAAAGAGGATGCTCTTGGGGGCTCTCTGATTCAAAACAGAATACACACTCAGATTCTACTGACATCAAAGACAGACAAAATCCCTACAAACACACTTTCATATAGGTAAGTTCTTCAATGTCCCTCAGATTGATTTCACCTCCTCTGTGAAGATTCCACCCTTGCTCACATGAGGGTATCCCACAGTCCTTTGAACTATCATAAATTACTGCATTGCATTCTTAAGCAGAACTTCCCAGGTGTCTCTTTCCTAACACTTAAGTTACTTGAAATTTGGGATTTTTCTTCCCTTCATCATTCATTTTGTCACTCCTCAGTACCTGGTATCAGGCTTCAGATACCCTGGATTTCCATAAAGTTGAAAGGTAATTATATAGTTTGTATTTATAAGGTATAGATATTCCTGCATTCAATTCCTGATTTCATTCATTATCATCTGAGTGACTAGGGGCTAACCCTAATCTCTCCACTCCCTCAACTAAAGCATTGGGACAAGAATCCTGGCCTTGGAGGTTCTTTTACGGGTACTCAGGGAAGTAAGTAGTGGCATGGAACAGAAATGATCTCAGCAGATTGTCTGATTTTGTGAATTATCATGATGTTTCAAAACCTTTCAATATACATTACCTCCTAAAGAGAAATACCCATTGCCACTGGATCAATTCCCTTCTCCGGGTCTCAGTATCTCCTTCTGTAAATGAAGGACGTTAGGCTAGATTTCATCCATCCCTTAGTGAGCCTTCTTTCTGAGAAATTTGTTTTCAGGTGTCCCTGAGGAATGGTCCAAAGAGCATTATTCTTTTCTCTGACCGGCTTGTCGCTAGAGGACTAGCACAGTCATCTAGCATAGGGACGCAAAACTGCAGGTGAGATCCAAAGGCCACCCTCATGCTCACCCCACAGAATTCCCACACCCTGTTCCTGATGTGGCTCTGTCCCTCTCCTGCCTCTTCAAATCCACCTTCAGAAGAAAGTTGCTTTGACGATCCAACAGTCATTCTAAAGAACTTAAAGGCCTGAACAGTCGTTGCTGCAACAGTCAGAGCGCGAGGTTTTGCTTTGAGTTACCAGTCAGGGCGTGCTGGGAACAAGTTAGGGGCGCAAGGGTTCCTTCCATCCTCACTGTGAGACAAGCCTTTGTCCACCACGTTGGCTCTGGTTCAACCTCAGTTTTGTTCCCAGTTGTGCTCCGACCCATGTGACACTGGTAGGTCTCTCCTGGCGTTTCTGATTGGCTGCCCACCTCACTCAGTTCCCTGACCCTTTCACATCCGTCCTTGGACCAAACATCCTTCGTTGTCTGCTACCCACGCTCTACTTGGTAACACCCTGCTGGTGGAGCCTGGTACTGACCTCCCCTTCTTTCACCTGCTCACACATCAGCTTCTTATTAATAGATACATGTTAACTTGTCCGTGCTCTTTATGTTTAATTCCTCTACTGGTTTAATTACTACAGATTTATAAGAAAACTTACTATCAAATCAGTCAAGACCAACTTCTTCTTTCTTGTCAAAATTATATGGTTCTTTTCTTGGCTCTTGACATTTCCCTAGGAAGGGGTTCAGAGAATGCTTTCCCCAAAATACACCATGCTGGCATAAGGATTATTTTGAGCTGAAGGCAATCGACAGGAAGCAGACAGAAAAATTCTCTCCTCTTCCACAACAAGCAGGAAAGGCAGGAGGATTCTTACGCACCAGAGACAAACCTAGACTCCTCAGCCTAGAGAAGGCTTTGAGTTCGATCCCACCACCATATAAAGCTTTTGTCACTCTAAAAGTTTCCCCATGTCATCCCTTGCAATAACCCTTGAGTCATGGCCTCTTACAAGATTAAAAAAGAATGTTATCTTTTAAAGAGTCTGTGGTGACCCAACGATGAAAGAGCAGATAAAGCCAAAGAGGGTCTTGGAGTGCAGGAACAGAAAAACCAGATCTTTATCATCTTTCCCTTCCCCATGTTTTAACTATTAACAGATTTCAGGTCCTCCTGAGCAGTATAAGCTGTCTCCCCTCCTACCTTATAGGGAGAAGGTTTTTACCTTACTCCACCTCCACCTAGTATACCTGTCTCATCCAATCAGCAAGTGACCCGAAGACCTGTATCCTACTCCTTGTACCCTGGGTATAAAATTGGACAAAGACCCCTGTTCAACATCAGTTCTCCCTTGAGCTTCCCTGGTGTTCTGACAGCGTCTCACACTCTAACAAACTTTATTTTTCTCTCATTCTGCCTCATGTCTGGAAATTCTTTTCTAACTCAGGCACAGACCAGGACTGAGTTGTCTTGGTGCTGGCAGAATGTTGCTTTTTATGGTTGAGCAGGCTTGGTGATGTGTAACACAGGTACACAACGCACAATGGAGGGGAGAGAGGAGGCCAAAGGGTGGAGAAAAGTTTTTATGATTAAATTTTTCTTCTCTTGGCATAAAATATGCATTTATTTCACATTACTAAGTTTAGTTGTTTTTTTTTTTTTTTTTATAGCCTAAGCCTTCAGACATTTGCAGAGATTATGGTGAGAGTGCTGTCCCTACTTTTGTCCTTGTACTATTGTCCCTACAGGCTCAAAATAGTGTCACTCATGCTAAAGTCCTTGATACTAAACCTAGACTGTAATTTCTGAATTAACTGCTGTTTCAACCTTCCCCAGGAATCTTATTCAACCAGTTCAGAATTTTCTGGTCAGCACTAATGAGATAATCTAGTCTCTTGGGTCCTCTGGGTTCCTCCCTCTTTCTAGAGAAAATCTGCATGATAAAGACCCCTGCTGTTCTCTTCCCTCCCAACCCCACCCCACAAATCGGGTGTGTCCAGGTCCAAGATAACCTTCTTTTCTTTTGCTAATGACTGTGCCTCTCCTCAATTCTAAAGGAAATCAGCCTCGAATATTCTTTGGAAAGACTAATGCTGAGCTGAAGCTTCAATACTTTGGCCACCTGATGTGAAGAACTGACTCATAGGAAAAGACCCTGATGCTGGGAAAGACCGAAGGCTGAAGGAGAAGGGGACGAGGATGAGATGGTTGGATGGCATCATCAACTAGATGGCCATGAGTTTGAGCAAGCTCCAGGAGACGGTGATGTACAGAGAAGCCTTGTGTGCTGCAGTCCATGGGGCCGCAAAGAGTCAGACACGACTGAGCAACTGAACTGAACTGTGTTTGCTGGAAAACCTCCCATAATTAGCCTCCCTCCCACAAATCTTTCTTTTGTCTTCAGCTGGCGAAGGTATTTGAAGTGGTAGCTTTGAGTCATTTCAGAGGTACTCAGTTTTCCTGAGTATTTCCCATGTACACATGGGGTATACATGTTGTCAAACTACTCTGTTTTTCTCCTGTTAATCTGTTCTTTTTATTACAGGGGTGTCTAAGCCAAGAATTTAGAAAGGTGGAGGAAACATTACATATCTGAAGTAGGGTCCTGGAGCAACACCCCATGATGTGTGGCAGCCAGAGGGAAAGACAGGAAAGTATCCTTCATTCTCAAGGAGATTACCAGTTTACCCAGATTACCATAGGGGGAAATGATGTCTGGTTGGCTCATGTGTTGCCAGGGAAAACAGCTGAGGAGCACCGCCTTCACCACCCCTTTGATAAACAACAGAGTAGATGGAGCTAGGGCAAGTACATAGGCACTTACTGATTAAGGTCTATGATTAAGAAGGAAAGTCAGTTCTGTGAGTAGGGTGTAGGTGAAGCAGGCACTGGTGGAGCAGGGGATGTAGGTACAGAGAGGAAAGGAACAGCCATCTTGGGCGGCCTAATCGTACAGTGTGTGGGCTCAGGTGTAAGGCAGGCATGTATGGCCTTTGGCATGATTTCAAGGAATGTAGGTTGATCTACATCTAGTTAGCTCTCAGCCACCTCCACCCCTAATCTAAGCAGAACCCCCAGAGTGAGGCCTTTATAAAGGAGAGGCAGCAGCTGCTGAAGAAGGTAGGGGCAGGAATGAATAAATGAGGAGTACGGAAAAGATGGCACTTAATGAAGACCACCTTCCAGGTTAAAAGACACTTGGGAACTATAAGAGGATACACTGACTGAAACCGATCACCCTGCAGGCACCATAGCAACCGTTTGCAGGAGCTATTTTACAACAGGAGGTCAGGACCGCCTTACACAGAATTAACAAGCCACCACCCACCAGAGGAATTCAGAAAGGTCAAAGGAGATGCCATCCGTCCTACCACCTGCCAGTTCTTTCTTGCTGGCATCCATCTTGGCTGAGCAATGCGTGAGCCACAAGGAAGTACCCTGAGTCAGAATGACTGTGTTGGGGCCAGTGTGAGGAAAGCAGGAGAGACTCCATCTTGAAGTCTGTCATCCATCTCAAAGACAGGATGTGAACTGGGCCTGAACCCTGCACAACAGTGAGGAAACTGTTGCTAGTGAAAACCAGGTCTCCTGGAGACTTCCTTCCCTACAGATGACAAACAGAGACTGTAGTTGAGGTCAGGCTGCCCCTGTTAGGTTAACCATGGAGACATCCCCCCTTGATGTATAATCATTGTTCCCCCCCTTTAACCTTAATTGTTTGTTCTCCTAGGACCAAAATCATATACAACAAAGAGGTTGCTAATATGTAACCAGTTACACATGTAATGGGGGGCATAAAACTGGGCCTCTCAGAAACAGGGTCCTTGTTGGGAACTGATTCCCCTTGGACCTGCTGGCATAATAAACTGTACTCCACTGTCCTGGAGTGTCCTGCGAGGTGTGTTTTGCAACTCCAGATTCCACAACAATTGGACAGAGACAACCCAGAAACTAATCCCATCACCATAAACCAGAGATTGGCAGAGCAGCTCTCCTGGGTTCCCTTACTCTCCTGCTCTCCACCGCAGGACCCCTTCCCAATAGTCTTTTGCTTTGTCAGCATCTGTGCCTCCTCTGATAATTCATTTCGGAGCGTCAGACAAGAGTTCCCTTTCAGGCCCTGGAAAGGGTTCTTCCAGGAGCAGAACGACAAATCAGGGACTGTCATCCTAAGCCCCAAACTGAAACTGAATTTCAATGTGTGTATGTGTACAGGCTTCTAAGGAGTTTATACAGATCTTTCATCAGTTCTTACAGGAATGTGTGCACCCACATGGTAAGACTCTCCCACCCTAGACTTAAAGGGGAGATAGAAACAGCAGACTGTGGGGCTGCCGGGGCTGGCAGGCGGCCATGTGTACAGGCTTCTAAGGAGTTTATACAGATCTTTCATTAGTTCTTACAGGAATGTGTGCACCCACATGGTAAGACTCTCCCACCCTAGACTTAAAGGGGAGATAGAAACAGCAGACTGTGGGGCTGCCGGGGCTGGCAGGCGGCCTGGACCTGGGTTTGGGTTTCCCCTGAAATGGTGGGATTCCCCGCCCCCATCAGGTAACCTGGAGCCAGCCAATCAACATGTGCCTAGCAAGAAAAAGGGAACCTATCAGGGGAAAGCTGAAAAGCCCGAGAACACCCAAGTTTGAAAAAAGCCCGCGAAGGTTTGGGCCAATAAGATTACTTTGCAAACATGTAACCAATCCGCTTAAGCCAGCTACCAACTGCTTATGCACACCTTATAAATTGGGTAACAGCTTGGGCTCAGCGCTCTCTGACCCCGTACCACTGCGTTGGATGCGCGGCGGGAGCCCTGACTTGAGTCAGCAATAAACTTCCCCTTTTTTGCGAGTTGCATTGTCTTGGAAGCCTTCTCTCTTCCTGCTCAGGGATTCGGACATCGGGCATAACATTTGGGGGCTCGTCCGGGATCCCTTGACTGGGGAAAGAGAATCCTTCCAGGACAGAGGGAAAGGATAGATAATAGCACCGGTGCCCAGGCAGGACAGGAAAGTCCAGTGTAAAT